AAAAAAAAAATCTTTGGAGACAGTTCTTATCTTCACCTTTAGCTTGGGGTATGTATATCTTGGGTCTGTCATTCAGCAGCCATGTGCTTTTTTGTGTATCTTCAAAGTTTTAAAATAAATATGTAATGTGTATGGATGTTTTGTCTTCATGTATGTTTATGTCTCGCATGCATGCCTGGCACCAAAGGATGCAGAAAAGGGCATTGGAATCCTTGGGCCTGGGTTTGCAGATGGTTGTGAGCTGCCATATGTGTGCTAGAAATCAAATCCAGGTCCTCTGAAGAGCAGCCAATGTTTTAAACTTCTGAGCCAGCTTTCCAGGCCTTGTTTCCCTTGATTTTCAAATTGGGCTCTTTAGTTTGTTTATTTTACACCAACATGTAAAATTTCTTACTACAGCAGATCAAAGTCGTTTTTTGATACTGTTTATGATTGTAAAAGATGTCATATCCATCCTTCTTACCTAAATCTAGATACTCAAGTCTTTCTGTAAATATGGCCTACATTCATCTTTCAGATGCTTCAGATCATCTTCTGTATCACCTATAATTTCTGCTATTCAAATGCTGTGCAACTAAAATAGTTTTTACCATATATTGTTTTGTTATACATTTAAATGATCGATATGAGAAATGACAGTGTAATATTTGCATTTTTCTGATCATTTGATTCCAATGTAAATATTGTATATATGATAAAAGCTCAATTCATGACCGTTGTTTCAGAGGTTGTAACCATTAAAATGGTCATTGATCCAAAAGTGACCTGACTATCAAGTACAGTCCCTTGTTAATTTATCTTGTAATTCATTTGTTCTCCTCACTTAAGAGACATTGTCTGGTGCAGTGTCAGTTTTGCATCTCACTACTACTTAGCTGGTAAGTAGTTTGTAAATTTCAGTATAACCCATAGTTAGCTTAGCTTGGTTCATGCATCGAAACTTCTTTTTCAAGCAGGGAGAATCAGAATAGCAGAAGTATAGGTATAACATTTAAGTAGCAAATGCAAAGGTTATTGTTTACCCTGAAAGCAGTACAGATTCATGTTCTATCTCTATTTTATGCTTCTTAGATAAATGTTGAAGAGAGTAGAACCTTTAATTTACTCAAACAAATGTCACAAAACCCATCCCCAGCATTGCCCTGTAAAGAGACATTTAAGGTGGTTTATTTATTCTAACTTTGATTTTTTTTTTTAAATCGGTTTAAGCTTGAATCACTAAACACCCAGTCTTCTCTTACTAAAGCTGTATTGGGGAAATATTTCATTAAAGCAAGCTGAAGTTTTATTAGTAATGTGCCAAAGAGCATAGAGAGGACACTAGACCGTATAAGTAGCTTGGTTTTATTTGCTGGATTGGGGAAACACTGTGGAGATTATCTGAGTGCATATATATTACCCGTTACTGTTCACTTGAAAGGTCACTCACTGAGTTTCTGGGTATAACTGAGTTGAGTTGTGATGGTCCCTGCTCTTTGGTCATGTTGTTCCCCAAACACTCATTCTTTCTGTTTGCCTTAGTTGTTTGTTACAGTAAGAAAAAAATATTTTTTTCCTTCTCACTCTGAAAATATGTAAGTTGATCATAGGGTTGATACAGAAGTAAATAGAGATAAAGACAAATTAGATTTCATAAAAGTTGTGCCTGGCACTATTTGGGGGTAGGACTCAAGCTTTACATCACTGCTGCCATTACCCTGATCTTGGGAAATTTGCTCCTCTGTCTGTTGTATCCTCTTAAGTTTAGAAAAGACAATACGCAGAAGGTAAAGCTCAAATAAAATGCTCCCTACAAATTCTTTACTAAATTAGGGCTTTATTGGTTACCTTTGTGAAACTTATCCTTAGGCTAGTGGGTGTTGATGCTTACGGTGTTGGATTTTTGACATGCCATTTGAAGGTCCGTATTCCTTGACCTAAAAGCTAACTGATAATCTTATCAATTAGTGGAATGTTTGCCAATATTTGAAGTTTCATTGATAATCACTACAAGTAGATTTTTGGGTCTTAACTTGATGAGAGATCAGTAGATTCCACCTATAAAATACTATTTCCATAGTGTAAACTGTGTGTCTTTAGCAAGCCTCTTATGAGCAAATAAATGTCAGAATAGAGCATCTCCTCCAACTTTCATTAGTAGGTTCTTTTGGTGGTGTTCATTTCAGACAGCATCAGTGGTTTTTCTTATTATAGACATTGTTGTGTGAAAATCCATGGGAGCAATAACTTGATGAATAGTGTAAAGACATTCCAGCGGCACACACTAATTGTTATATGATTTGTCTGCAAGATGGGAAATTAGCATATATCCAAGTCTTTTAATTTGGTGTAATAATTGTTGACGATAATTGTAGTAACCTTAGGGCAGTGGTTCTGAGCCTGTGCAAGGGTGGTCTAAGATCATTGGAAAACACATCTTAATATTTTCCTTAAGATCTCTAACAGTAGTAAATTTATAGTTATGAAGTAGCAACGAAAATAGTTTTATGGTTTGGGGTCATCATAACATGAAGAACTGTGTGAAAAGTCTCAACATTAGGAAAGTTGAGAAACACTGTCTTAGGGCCCTTAATATCATGTCATTGTCATTTATTTGTTTTGAATCCTTAGGATCTAATTTGTAGTCCTTATCATGATGTTGATTTCCTAGAGTAGAAAGAGCCACCTGGTGCAGTTTGGAGGAATCCAGGACCATGCTTCCCAGTGTTTTCCAACTAGTAGCCTGTGAAAAATACCCTTCATTCTTCTAGCATCAGGTTTTGGTAGTAGCTCTGGAATGCTATCTCTTGCAAGCGCAAATTGGATTTAAAATTAGCTTGGAGTAGTTTTGCCCATACCTTCTGCCTAGCACATAGAAAATTCAGACTCTTGGTGGGAAAGTGATGTTCAACTCAAGCTGCATTTTGTGCACACAGATATGGTGAATAGCTCTTAGAGTTAGGAAATTCTTCTGGAACATAGGTTCCCTCATGAATATGAACTGTTGAGACAAGGTGGTGTGAAACTTGGAGATCTGCCTGCCTCTGTGCAGCTTTGGGCTTAGTTTTGATTGGTTTCTGATTTTATTGCGTTGTTGGATTTATTGCCTACTTTATTTAGAAAAAATGATTTAATACCATCCAAGATTAAGTGTAATAAGTAGATGCAAAAGCCATCAGGCTTCTCCACTGTCAGACTTTTGGGTGAATTTCTTTTTTATCTAATTGCCCACATTGATGTTAGGTTAACTTTGTTAGCCAATCTAATAGTCTTTTATCCTTTGTGACATCAGTAGCTTTTTTGAACATTTGAATCTGTTCATAACTTCACTTACAAAAGGATCTGTAATGAAAATTTAGTCTTGGTTATAGCTGTTGCTGATTACTGTTTGTTAGTGGCCATTGTATGTGTATGAATTACCAGGCCAAGTTCATCTACTTTTGACCTGTAATGGAGGATTGGCAGTCTGCATTTATACATTTGCTCCCTTCTGTTCTAGCTTTGAATAGATCAGCTGATAGTTTCCATTTGGACCCATTGAATCTCAGGAGTCATCACCATCTCTTTCAGTTCATCTTTCTTTTTCCTGTTAATTCTTAACCCTTCTTGTTCTCTACTGCAGTTATAATTGGTAATTCATGGCCCACAGGACCACTACCTAACCCATCTCAAACACCACTTTTAGTTTTTATTCATCATAGTTAGGATCCATACTGTCTCCAATACTTTCCTTTAAATTGCCAGTTACGGCCAGGAAGTGGTGGTGACTCTCACCTTAAATCCCAGCACTGGGGAGGCAAAAGCAGGAGGATGTTTGAGTTTAGGGCCAGCTTGGCCTACAGAGTGAGTTCCAGGATGAACAGGCCACACAAAGAAATCTTCTCTTGAAAAACCAAACATATAATTAATGAAATGCCGGTTATAGTGGCTTTTGCCTGGAAAATGGTGAAAGTAAAGGGAAACAGACATTTGTTGGCTCTTTTTACACCATTTATTGGTGAGTTTTTGCACATCTAGATGGATGCAGCTTGGTTTTTATTTTATTTTCCTGGTGCTAGAAATTAAACCTGTCTTTTGTGTTGGTATGAGTGACAGATAATCTTGTACTGAGCTATGCTCCCAGCCCTCCATGTGAACTTTTCCTAAAACAGTAGTGGAGAAACTGTTACCCTTGGTGACCTTTGGGATGTGTATTGGTGAGACTTGGGTCATTGTTTCGAACTTTTAGGTAGAGTTGGCCCTGCCGGGAGCAAGCTTTTTATGTCACCTTTACCAACTTGAATGGGTTCCTCCCTTGGATTTTAAACTTGATGTTATTTTAGTTTAAAAAATTTTCAAGTCTATTAAAGAGCACAATTAGGGATTATTTTTAAAAATCAAGATAATTTCAGAAATAATCGAAACAGCAAGTTCTCTGTGGTCTCTTGTCCTAAATCATTTGAGTTTTCACATTTCTTCATTTTCTTTGAAAGAAATTTGACAATGTGGTTCCTTTCTTTGTTTTTGTTTCTTTGTTTTTTGTTTGGATTGGTTAGGTTTTAGGAGAAGTCTCCATAATAGCCCTGGCTATCTTGGGCCTTACTACATAGACAGGATGGCCTCAAACTCACAGCGATCCTACTGGTTTTGCCTGTAGTTTCGGGATTGGAGACGTGTACCATGATGCTCAGCTCTGCAATCTTAGTTGTAAGCCGGGTCTATCTGTAGTAGGATCAGATAGTTCCTGTAGTATAAAAAGCATGAGTTGAGCTCGGGGTTACAGCATATACCTATAATTTTAACGTTGATGCTAGGCTTAATGAATTCAGTGCTGTTCTGGACTAAACAAGGATGACATGTTTTTTTCTGATATTCATAGGGTATGATAGTCAAATGGTATTTACAGTGGTGTGGCTTAAAAAAAATAAATTACAACTGTGGTTATTCTTTATTCTTTCTCTTTAAGGGACCAGTTACTCTCCACAAGAAAATTCACACAACCACAGTGCTCTTCATAGTTCAAATTCACATTCTTCTAATCCAAGCAATAATCCAAGCAAAACTTCAGATGCAGTAAGTATTAAAACAATGTTCAACTGGCTAAAAAGCTGTCTGTCAAATGAAAAAGCACACTGCAAATATTCTTAGACGTTGTCTTTCAATTTTTAAAATGTTTGAACTGGAGTTGATAATGTATTTTTGGATGTATTGTTCATATAGAAAGAAAAATTTGTCTTTGCTATATATGAAAGTACAAGTAATATCAACTTTTCTGAAAGTATTTAAGGCGTATATGTGTGTGTGTGTGTGTGTGTGTGTGTGTGTGTGTGTGTGTGTATGAGAGAGAGAGAGAGAATGAATGAATGAGTGAATGATACATAAATTGCTTATTTATTCTCTGCTCTGAACTTGGTACTTCACCAAACAGTGAGGACAATATCCTGATCCTAAAAGGCATAAAACAAACAACCAATAATAAAAAAAACCACCATAATTTTAAATACTCTGGAAAGCTTCCATTAATGAAATAACTGGATATTTCAGTGTGGGTCCAAATGAAATTTCTCTTGTGTTGATTTAGCAGCAGAGTACCTTAATCAGTTGTATGCTAAATTATTGTCATACAGCTAAGACTATGTATTTCATTTTCGTGGAATTTGATAGTGTGTGGTGGTGACAGAAATGCTAACAATTTAGAATGTTGTTAAAGCTGTTTGGGGATCCTTAAGATGACCTCTCACCTCACCCAACTATATAACTTAGCTCGGTGAAGCTAAGAGGTTTAGTCTTCAGAGGTGTACAACTGCACTTAAAAAGACAGACGTGTGGAAATTGATGGACATAGTGGCACAGGACAGTAATCCCAGAACTTGAGAGCCTTAGGAGCAGAACTGGGGGAATTAGCAAGAACTTGTCTTTAAAAAGAAAAAAAAGCATAACAAGGATTTTTGATAATTTGGGGAAAAGGAACTGTCCCCAGACTAAAAAGTCAGACCTGAATCATAAAATAGTGTCTGTGCTAGCAAAGAAAGTGAATTTCACAGAAAAGCAGTGGAGAACCAGTGAAAGATGTTAGTAAAGTGGCTGTAGACTTGCAGTTTTAAAGTTATCACAAGTAGGACTGTCAAAAATGCAGGAAAGAGTAAAGAGTAAAGCCTTTGGAGAGCTCAGAGGTTAAGATAAGCACATGCTGATCTCCCGATTACCCAAGTTCAGGCCCCAGCAGCACCACTTTGACATCTCATAACCAACTGTAACTCCAGTTCAGGGAATATGATGATGCCTTTTGCCTTAGTGGGGCATCTGCTCTGCACCTATTGTACTTACATACATGCAGACAAAACATAAAATATGAATCTTAATATATTCTTTGAGAATTTCAAATAAGTCAATAAATTTTACCTTAGGTATTTTGGATGATTACCATGTTTTAGTTGGCATTGAAAGGTAGATGTTAGTATTGTATTTTCTTTTGTCAAGTAGGGTGGAGCAGTACATTTTTGTAAGAAATTGTGACAGCAAAGGTAATATTTAGTTCAGTCTCATAAATTTGTAAAATGTAGAGTAATTATTGTATTGGGTCTGTAAAGGAAAGAAATCATGGTAGTTTTTATCACCAAGATTCCAGTACATGAGTATGTAGACTTATTTAAAACCAGGGCTCCGATTTTGCTCATTTAGAAAAAAAAATTGGGTGGAAAGATGATTCAGTCTTAAAAGGTCAGGCTCAGAACCAAAAAGACAGAAAAAATGTATTTGTACTTAGAAACAGCAGTATGATAGAGGGCTGGAGAGAAAGCTCAGTAAATAAAGCATGTGCTGTGCAAGCCTGATGAAGACCTGAGTCTTATCCCTGGCACGGGAAGAAGGAAAGGTGAAGAGACAACTGCTCCCCAGAACCCCCATCACTCACAAGCTTGTGTGTATGTATGTGTGCAGAAAAGTGTAATAAAAACAAAAGGAGAACACTATATTTAAATGCCGCCCCCTTAAGTATTCTACCCTAATTTGAGTAGCTGGAAAGTGCTTTAAACTCAAACTTAACTTTACATTCACCTAAGTGGCCTTTGATATTTGGGAGCTCATTTGAGTATACTATATATTTGCAAACCTTTGGAGACAGGGTTTCACTGTTCAGCTCCACCTGGCCTCCAACTCATTATGTAGATCAGGTTGGTCTAGAACTCAGAGATCCCTCTGACTTTGCTTCCTCCTGAGTGCTGGGATTGAAGATATGTGTTGCCATGCCTATCTCTGCAGCCAGTTTTGCCTGGAGACAGTCTCCTTAATTTACTAAAAGAAAGATGTATCAAAGGATTATTAGGATTTCATGAAATTCTTAGTTAATAGGGAAGGCTATCTTTGTTATTTAATGAGCTATTAATAACTCATGAGTTAATTTAAGTATTATCACATTCTGTAGTTTTAGGAACATTGATAGTATAAACAGTTGAGAAATTGGAGATTTTTTTTTTTTTTTTTTTGAAGAAACAGCAACATTCATGTAAGAGATCTAAAAGGTTTGAATTTAAGAAGAGAGTAGATAGGTCTCTTGGTAGAAGTCCCTTTTGTGGGTTTCGCTGTGTAATCTTGGCTGGTCTGGAACTTGCTGTGTAGATCAGGCTGGCCGCAAAGCGTAGATATCTGCTTGCCTTTTAAAGGCTCCATTTTGAAGTCATGCATTCTCATACGCTTTTTTTTTTTTTGGTTTTTCGAGACAGGGTTTCTCTGTGTAGCTTTGCGCCTTTCCTGGAGCTCACTTGGTAGCTCAGGCTGGCCTCGAACTTACAGAGATCCACCTGCCTCTGCCTCCCGGGTGCTGGGATTAAAGGCGTGCGCCACCAACGCCCGGCTCTCATACACTTTTCTTAGACAAATTTATTTAACTTGATATTTACTATATTGCAGATAAAAATAAAACTTGATTTAAAATGCCAGTCAAGCCCATTGTATGTTAATATGTGTAACATTTTAGGGAAAAAGTAACCTTTCTAAAGAATATCATAGATGTCTCCTATCAAGGTTTTTTGTTATGTTTTGTTTTGATGCGGGTGTGTGTGTGTGTGTGTGTGTGTGTGTGTGTGTGTGTGTGTGTGTCTGTCTGTGTGTCTGTGTGTCTGTCACAAGTCCTGCATGGCTTCTGGGTAGATGTCCCTTTGATTATGATAGATTACAGAGGACAAAAGGAAACTCATTTTAGTGATTTTAGGAAATAGTTTGAGTCATGTGGAAGAAGTTCATGTTTCCTCAAGTGTTTGTAATATAATATTCCTTGATAGCTGATTGAGTTTGGCTACATGTTAAGCTTAATTTAGAAAATGTGAAATGTATGCAGGACTTCAGTTTGTTAATTTTAGATTTTTTTTATTTTTATTTGTTTGTTTGTTTTTAAAGACAGGGTTTCTCTGTGTAGCTTTGGAGCCTTTCCTGGGACTGGAACTCACAGAGATTCACCTGGCTCTACCGAGTGCTGGGATTAAAGGTGTGCACCACCACCACCGCCCAGCTTAGATACTCTTTTTTTTTTTTTTTTTTGTCAAATCAGAAATGTTGGCTCTTGCCATTACACATTGGTCTTTTTAAATTACATCATTATTTGAAGGATCTTTATACTTGACTCCTTAATAGAAATGGGGTTGAGATGATGCTCATTGCTTAGTGATTGGGAAAGTAACTTGCAATTTTTTACAGTAAGATTCCTCTTGTACAAACTGAGATTTGATACTAGTGTTGTAGACCCTTATACTTCAAGGCTGTGATTGTTGTGTGGTGGGAAGACAGGATTTTACTGTATAGCCAGTGAGGATATTACATGTTCTGTGAACTTCCAGGTTTTTTTGGAGATTGCATAAATGTAAACTGATGCTCTAAAATGAACATTATTGTTTAGCATACCGGACCCCCTACCTACACCCCCCATGCACCTTCCCTGGCAGACTTATGGTAAAAGAAATGCTGAGCGTATATATTCTGATACAGAATTCTTTTTGCCTTGAGACAGTGGACAAGTTGGCAGACTGTTAGTTTGAAGAGCACTGGTGGTTTAGACACCGGTATCTGTTTATTCTGCTCAGTGTCTGTTCCTTTGACCAGTCTCAACCCTCTACTACTTCTTGACTAATGTTCTCCTCGGAACAGACACTTAGAGGAGAACAGCTAAAACCAAAGCACTGATGGTTCAGACGGCTTGGGGCTGATGAACCAAGTACTCACTTTTACCGCCCCTTTTAGTCTAGACACCAGTGCCATGTAACTACTTTGCAGATTTTTCTAATTTCATCGTGATTTACATGGCCTGCCTAATACCTGCCTGGGATCAGCTGAGAATTTTAAGTGCAGTGTTAGTTGCAGAACTATACTGCTGCCTTGTGTTCTCCATGAGACAAGATTCTACTTAGTACTTAGTCTATGACATGAGCTTGAAAGGCAAACCAAATTCTCAGCTTTCTGTTCGTTTTGAAAAACTTGATTTCTTTTTCACTAAGGAACAGCAAATAATGGTCTGCCTTCCAACACTGTTGATTGTCTTTTGCCTTCTGAAAGTAGGAAATAGAAGTAATGATTTTATGCCTTTATGTCAGTTGAGAACAGCATGACCCCCTCCCATATGTCACTGGTTTTACTAGTTAAAATACTACTTAAGGGGGTCTCTTATAAAGCTTTCTAAATTCAGGATATTAATAATCTCATGTTCTTCCCAAGCCTAATAAACTAATACTATAATCTTTCTAGATATTCTTACTCATAAAGGTTTTATTAGACCCTGTTCATATATATATTCACACACACACATACATGTTTGTTATAAAAAATCATTGAAATTTTTAATATTTGTATCAAATAATTCAATGACATTTTGTAATTATTAAAATCTATTTTTAAGCCTTATGATTCTGCAGATGACTGGTCTGAACATATTAGCTCTTCTGGAAAAAAATACTACTACAATTGTCGCACAGAAGTTTCACAGTGGGAAAAACCAAAAGAGTGGCTTGAAAGGTATTTGCTTTTAATCTAGTAATACTCCTTACTTAATTCTGTAAGTCAGCATCCTGTGGCATTAAACAGTATCTTTCGGTTCTGTATAGTGAAACCATTTATTTCTTTTTCAGTTTTAGTAATGGTCCCATTTCTGTGTTTTCCCTTCATGTAAAATAATTTCTTGGACACATGTAGGCAACCATCTATGGAGGCCTGTGAACAGTCAGTGTATTTGATAAAATACTTAACAATCTGTCATTTGACTTTGTAATAGAAGTATTTGTTTGTTTAGAGATGAAGTTTCATACTCAGGCTTGCCTAGAATTCTCTCTCTAGCCAAGGCTGGCTTTGACCTCCTAATACTCCTGTCTTTATCTGCCATCCCCTCCTTCTGCCTTTTTTTTGTTGTTGCTTTTTTTTTTTCCCCCAAGACAGGGTTTCTCTGTGTATCCTTGATGTCCTGGAACTTGCTCTGTAGACAGGTTGGCCTTGAACTCACAGAGATCTGCCTGCCTCTGCCTCCCAAGTGTTGGGATTAAAGGTGTGTGCCAACACCGCTCCTTGACTTTGTTTTTTAAAGGAAGTCTTTATGTGAAAACGTTACCATTTATTGAACTATTATTGGGAGTTTAGTCTGGAGTTAGTATGAATAACTGGTAGTTCTGCTGTAAGTGAGAAACGTTCTTCGTCTTCTCTTTGCTGTATTCTGTCTCGAGACCAGTTTCAATTGCAAACCACCTTCCCTTCTTTTACTCCTTGTACTGTTCTGTTGAGTGAAGATTTGTTAAGAAAAGTTATTACAGACTCTAGTGCTTCGTGTAATTTTTACTCATAAAGTGATGTTTGATCTTTTACTTCTAGAGAACAGAGACAAAAAGAAGCAAATAAGTTGGCAGTTAATAGTTTCCCAAAAGATAGGGATTACAGAAGAGAGGTGATGCAAGCGACAGCCACTAGTGGGTTCACCAGTGGAAGTAAGTGCTCTTTTGTTGCCTTTCGAAGTTTGTTTTAATTTACCAATCTATAAATTCCACCTGCATGTGTAAATTGACATGAAAATATATGTGATTTCTATTATCAACTCCCTCTTTTTTTTTTTTCCTGGAAAGGGAAATGGGTTCAGGGTGGACTAGTGGTATATGTGGTTCTCATTACTCATGCTGTCAGTAATACAGAATTGGTAAAGAGCAAGTTTTCACTTTGTAAAGGACTAATAATTGAGTCCTAGAGCACTGCTGACATTTTATTACTAATGAGAAGCTATTAGTATGTAGATGGTCTCCAAAATTGGATTTTGACATTACAGTAATGTGAAAGCATATTTAAATAACTTTTGTTTGTCACTTTCACTGTAATGTTAGAAAAACCACACCAGATAGTAACACTTTATTAGAAAGTAAATTTCATGAGATGTTTTGCCTGACTATACTGAGCTCACTTATGTAGGCTAGGCTATACTCTTATTTTTGTAGCTTACATGTGATCATGTGTTTTCAGTGTATCTCTACAGTAGTATTGCTGGGATCTAACCCTATTATCTGTACTTAGAAGTTAATTCTATGTTTAGAAATCTGTATAAGCTGTGGACTGAGGCTCACAGAAACATTAACATTCTTTGCAGAAACTGTTCTTCAACCCTTGTTTAAGGTACCTTGAGCTATAAGACAAACTGGTCATACCATAACGTTTTCTTGAGATTCATCTATTGATGTGTGCAACTGATTCTCATCTCAATAAGGGGTATTAATTCTTTGATGGGAAAAATTACTTAGGGTGAACTTGTGCATAGCTTCAAGACATGAGTAAAATTATACTTAGTATAATTTAGTATTAAGTTAGAGAATTACAGTACATTTCATTTTGAGGCGTAAAATGTGGATTTTAGGCTGGGTGGCGGTAGCGCACACCTTTAATCCCAGCACTTGGGAGGCAGAGCTAGGCCAGCCTGGTCTACAGAGTGAGATCCAGGACAGACACCAAAACTACACAGAGAAACCCTGTCTTGAAAAAAAAACAAAAAATAAAAAAATAAATGTGGGTTTTAATCCTGTTTTGCCCTTTGTGTCAGGTAACTACCTGACTTTGACCAAACACAAAGGAGCCAAGGTTTTTATCTTGAATTAATTAAATAGCATATAGTTTGTTGTCTCATGCAGTTGATGGACAGGGAGGGGGAGCATGAAGGACTGCCACATATGGGCTAGAAAAAAGTCATTCTTCTCCGGACTTAAGAGTTTATAAAGTAAACTGGTGTGGACCTCATGGTGACCATTACTGCTTGGCAAAGTCCCAGCATTTCAGCATTGCAGACCACACTTCTCCAGCACCTTTTTACTTTCAATATTAATGCCTTTCCCTTTGGGAAATTTCATGTGTGCTTTGGTAAAGGATAAAAATGTGTACAATGGTAGCCTCTCAAAATATTTTTTTTTTCTTGGAGAAAAAAATCACCACCACCATAGATTCAGGAATCCCATTGTACCCTCCTAATTACATCAAGAATAGGAAAGTTTGAGATTTACTAGACACACTTGATCCCAAGGATGAAATGCCTACAGTTCAGATCCAGAACCTGAAGCCATTAAGGGCAAGAGTTCATGTAGAGAAATCAGAATGGTACAGTGTAATGGGAAAAGAGTGAGACATCAGGACCTTCCCTTTGGGGAGCATTATGAGGGAAACAGGCCCATAAGAAAGACTAAGAAACTATACTAGAGTGTTTGCTCTCCAGAAGTCCTTTTCCCACGGTCAGGTATTTGGATAAGGGTCTTTATTCCCTTTGGTACTCGAGGAAAATTCCTGCTTAATCAAGTAGTCATTCTTATCTCTAGCAGGAGGAACTTGTGGCCCTTTTATTAACATGATTTAGTGCCTATTGTCAAGGTCAAGGCTAGCTTCCTCAGCCCCTGATATCCAGCCATACCCCAGTTCACAGCCCCTAGACTACTGGTCCATCCTATGTGCAATTACAGAGTGTCTTTTCAGTTGAATGCACTGATAGCCAACCTAATTCACCCTTAGATTGTGTCCATCTCTCCTTCCTCCCCCTTTACCCCCCAAAAATCCTCTTTGGGTCCTGAGCCCCCTGCCGAAACAGGTCTCCCGCATTAAATGCCAAGATCTAATTCTGAAGCAGTGATGGAAAGGGGTGTGTGTGTGTGTGTGTGTTATATTGGCATCTTGTTCATGATTTCAGAGTAACGCATGTTTCTTTTTTAAAAGTTAAAAAGGCCTTATATGGGTGGGGTGCACTCCATTAATCACTATACCAGGGAGGCAAACACAGGTGGATCTGTATAAAAAGTTAGAATGCTAAACTTTTAATCTCTTGACCCAGGAACTTCTTGAGGTGTATGCTTTGTTTACTATACTTGTGTGTATAGAAGTCAGACATGTTTCTATTTAGAGCCCAGAAGGAGGTTATTTCTTGTTTTAGCCCATTTCTCTTCTTGTTCAGTAGCATTTCAGGGATCTGCTTCTGTGTCGGTTTGATTCTACGTCTGTTAAATGATTGCCTGTACCATTCTGCTTCAGTGTACTATTACTGTAAGCCTTCTGCTATGTCTCAGCCATTTCACGCTCTAGGATTTATATCCGCCCTTTTACTTAAATTCCTGTATGTGCAAATAATGAATCAATGAGTCTGGCAGTTTTAAGTAATAGTTGAGAAAGAAATTTAGCTATATTGGGTTTTATTTTTCCTGTTTAATTTTTCCACTAAGTCATAAAATATAAGGTACTATAGTAATAAAATCAGTATTCCACTTAATTATTTGACATTGTCAGATATTGTTCTGTGTTTATTGGCATTTGAGTAGAATAATGCTTAGAGTGTGTTCCTTTCAAGAAAAAGGAGTAGGAAGATTCTTACAGGTAGAGAGATGGTGGAGTTTTTAACCTCAATCTGATACTCAGAAATGTATGGATACAATTTTCTTTTGGTATTAACTACTTCTAGATTATTTCTTTCTGTACTTAATATTATATAATAATTTTACCAATAGATTCCTTTAAAGATAGAGAAACCTCAATTGGGATCTCTTATTGTACTAGGGGTATTTTGGATCTGTCCATTCTTTGTTGGAGATACTGCCCTGCTCTAAATCATTATTATACCTGCTAGATTATATGCTAGTCATACACCTCCCACCATGACATTCAGAAAAGTCTGGGGAGCTGTGGCGCAGGTAGAGATAATTTAGTAAATGCCTTCTGTTTGGTGATTGTAGGAGCGTTTTCTGCTCCGTTTTCCCCAGCTCCTACTCTGCTGTCTTTTTGACCTAACAAGTATCTGAAGTATTTTAAATTTTCATCTGAACATTTTGACCTTATTTTATGTTTTACTTTTAGCCATATAAAACTAAAGGGGATTTTTTTTTTCCTGTAAAGAGAAATAAAAGTTATAGGTTATTAAAGTGGTAGGGCTTGGCATGCTGTTATTCCTGCTGCACTTGTCTTTGAAGGTTTCTGTTATAGTTGTATCTTCTTATGAACAAACTAGATTCAAATAGTTTTATGTTCATCCAAATTTACTGATGTGTCTGTGCACGATTTTGTATAGCACTATAATAAGCCAATCTGTTTCTGTTATTGGTACATTGTGTAACATACTGAATCTATATTTTAGATAACTGGAGACTTTCTTTTGATATAATTGAGGGCTTTGGTGGCAAACCAGTGTCTTGAGTGTACTGTGATAGTTGTAGAGTGACAACCTTAAAATTGACTTACAGCTTGAGAGTCTTTCCTTTGTACGTTTTTGATATTAAGAGTTAGAAGAGCCAGGAAAAAACATACTCAACAGTGGGCGTCCTTTATACAACTGTCAAGATCTTTCACAATCATTTAATCTTAGGGTATTTATTATTTAAATGTTTCTTTGGGATATTAGAGATTTTTTTTTTAATTAAATTAATGACTTTTGTCCAGTCCACATAATTTTTTGTTAAAGATTTCTCCCTTTGTATTACTTTGTGGAAGCATAGTATCAGAATTTAAATTGTTGGCAGAGTTTGAACTATTTCCTATATTTACTTTGTGAGTTTAAATGCTTCTGATGTAATTGCTGGTGATAAGCTCATTTTTCTGATTATGCTTACATATGTTGGAGTTCTTTTCAGAGTAGCATGTGAATGTGAAATATGATTATTTTACCCTGTCAGTGTTATTCAAAACATTTCACTGATTTATGTGTGTGATGCACAATACAGTATGTGTTAATCCATCTTATATCTTTGAAAGCCCTAGACTAAAACACTTAAGATCCCACCCTAGCTACCAGCTTTAATATTCAAAAAACTGAAATTGATGAAACCAGTGTTCTTTTGTAATTGAACCACTGAATAATTCCATGAATTATTTGAATCCATGATTCATATTTTTTAAAAAAAGAAAACGTTTGCCTTTTTATTTTTGGAAACATAGTTTTTGAGTAAAATGTTACAACTATTTTTAGAAAGTTTTTTTGGAATACAGTTTAATTTCAAAGAATCCATTAAACGAGTTTACCTATTGATTCTAAGTATAGATTCGTATTTATAGTTGTTAAAACTCTTGCCATATTGATATCTATATGCCAGTGTTAAAACTGCAGCTACTAACTGGGCTTGCAGTTGTATGAAAAGGAACATAATTACAGTGATGTTGCTCAATTAGCTGATGTTCAGGACACCGGATTCTAACAGCATCTGTTTTTCTCCCCTTCTGCCATTCCAACACCTCTCTTGCGAACTGTGAACTACAGTGGAAGACAAGCATTCCGGCGATGCCAGTAGTTTGCTCCCACAGAACATTTTGTCTCAGACAAGCAGACACAATGACAAAGACTACAGACTGCCAAGAGCAGAGACTCACAGTAGCTCTGCGCCAGTACAGCACCCCATCAAACCAGTGGTTCATCCAACCGCTACCCCCAGCACTATTCCTTCTAGTCCATTTACGCTTCAATCTGATCACCAGCCAAAGAAATCATTTGATGCTAATGGAGCATCTGCTTTATCCAAACTGCCTACACCCACAGCTTCTGTCCCTGCACAGAAAACAGAGAGAAAAGGTATGCTGTTATTACTAGATGCTGCACGTTGAACTATATAGTTTGTAAAATATTCTTTCCTTTGGCTCAAATAAGACTTAATTATAAATTCTTTTTCAGTCTTTTAGAGTGTTATTAGGTAGACTTAGGTCAAAAATTAGTCATTCCGTTTTTCTTTTAATTTATAATTCTCAGGACTCAATGTTTTGTTTGTCTTTGACACTGAAACCAAGTATTTAGTTGGTAGCACTTAGCAGTCAGTGGTTTTAATAACATGTCAAATTCAGATGGCACAATGCATTACTGTTTGGATAAAATACTTTTCGGGTTTTGTGGCTATTATCTAGATAGCTTGGGAGATGATCTCCATTTTCTCTTAAAGACATGTTAAAGCATGGTTTTCCACTTCAGGCAGTTACTGGCCTGAGCTGGTATATTAGAAAACTAAGGCATGAGGCAGAAAATAAACAGAATCAGACCTCACTTCTATTAGACCACAGATCTGAGAACTGTGGGGACACATTGCAACCCAAATTGTCATCATACAACTTACTATAATATCTAAAGCATGCTCAAAAAGTTAAAGTTGTGGCAAGAGCTGCTTGGGGGTGTTAGACACCATAAGCAACATAATAGGTGCCCTTGCACAAGGCATTCATAATTCAAGCTTGCAGCTCAGGATATGGTTTTTAATCTCAGGGCAGCAGAAGGGAATCTAAACAATCCCACTTACATCTATACTACAAATTGCTGATTCACATGAGGATGAAGTGTTGGTCTGTGGTGGTGTGCTGTATTAAATGATGGATGAGCAGCATCTTTGGTTTTCTGTCCCTCAGTGATGCTCCATCCCTGGGCTTTGACAGACAGTAAGACATTTGTGGTTGTTGAACAAGGTGGGAGGGGACACTGGAAATAGTGATTAAAAAATGTGTCAGAGTGGGAGAAACACCTCATTGGCTGATGTTTTAAAATGTACTTGGAATAAGAGAAGACTATGTGTCGTGCATCTAATTAAAGGATCTCACAATAGGTGTATTTAATGGAGAGAGAGAACAGTTTGTGTCTGCTTGAGGGACCGAAGTGTGGGGAACCGTGAATCTCAGCAGTTTTGCAGGAAATATTGTTGGTGTTAGTGTGAAGCGGTGTCCTAATGTTTTATCTGTACCCGTTGAGGTGACTGCGAACATTTCTTGGTTAGCTTGTCTTATCATACAAACAAATAATAGACAAATGTTAGATATATCAGAAATACAAAAATGTTTTTTATCAATTAGCCCCCAGTGACCTTTTTTAACTGCTGTAATATCCTTTCCAGTTGTAAAGTCCTTTCTAGAGTTGTGAAATCACAAAACAAGCAAATAGATGTAAGCCTTGTACTTTACAAGGAAGCCCACATTGGAAGAGTTCAGTGAATTTAAATTATCAAACTTTTCATTTAGTAAGTTAAAGGTATGACTCACAAAGCAGCTGTGGAAGCAGAGCTGCTCAAAGATCTCCTGCCAGCTCTTAGCACATCTCCATCACAAAGCTAACAGTCTGTTGGAGCATTCGAGCAAGCAGTCATTCATTAATACTCAGGTGGAGTCAGTTACCTAGCCTAAAGTTCCTTAGTCTGTTTCAGGTATCCCCAGACTAAGTAAAATATGACTAAGCTCCCTAGACTTTATGTCTAGGTAGGCAGTAATGGCCTTTTGTTGTTGACATAAAATGGACATTAACTGTCTAAAGTGGGCCAACCTCAGCATCCTCTTCCTTGTTTTAAGTTTAAGGATACTGACTATCTTCATTTTAAAAAAAAAAAGAGAGATTGGTTTAGAAAGAGAGACAAATAATTGCTGGATGTATATATATATGTGTGTGTGTGTGTGTGTGTGTGTGTATACTAGTCAATATTGTAAAGTATGTCTTTTTATAATCAGTTTAAATTTGCCCAACTTAAAAAAAATTATGCTTAATTCCTATATTTTTGTTGGCATTTTGAAAAGTGTAACAGAAACAACCTTGTAAAAAGAATAATAGAAAATAACTGCTCATAATGTGAGTGTGGAATATACCAAAATGATTGTTTACCTCTTTACAAATTAGTAAACTGCACTGTTACACATTTTATACAACTCTGTGACAAATGAAAAAACCAAGATTGGGAGATAAGTATCAAATTAGAATAACGTATTTGTGAGGATAGAAAGTTGTGAATGTGTAAGTTTGTTCTTTTAGTGTGGCAGTTTGAAGAAATTCTTTTTTAACTTCCCCCATTGCGGGGGAGGGGTGCTAGGGATTGAACCGAGGACCTCACAGTAGTAAGCACTCTCCCTGCCATTGAGCTGTATTGACAGCCATGCTTAACTTGCTTTACTTAGTGCAGTAATGCGCAGATTTTCTCAGTTGAACGGAAGTAACAATTGCAAACTATTTGTGTATGTTTATACATGTGTTAGAAAAAAGACATGTTTGTGCTCACACGTGTGCATGTTTGTGTTGATAATAGCTGCTGTCACTTATCATTTAGTTTTTCTGCTGTATGTTGGTCATGAAACAGACACTTCTTTATTGGATATAACAGTTCTATGATCGCCATGTGTCTGTGCACCCTGTTGTCAGAATACCACAGGGAATTAATAAGTATTATTCTTACCTGAGTCTTAAAATCTTATTATATGCCAGAAAGGAGTTACTTGTCAGACTAGAAAAGTGCAGATCAGAAATACATTCTGACCTGTTTTTTTCTCTGAAGGGTTGTTTGGAAGAGTTAGTGGTAGAACAGATAGATTTCTTTTCCAGTTTAGATGTGGGTAAGTTTCTTCCTCTTCTGGCAAAAGTTGGAAATACAAGTCAACAATTTGCAAGTAAAAGCATAAAGGATGGGGAGTTATTATCTCTCTTATGGAAAGTGGAGTGTGCCCTGCTTTGTATTACAGTATGTATTACATAACCTAAGCAATTATGATAAGCAGTCTATTAAGTGTTAACACTCAGAAGCAAACTTTTGCTTTGCACCTTTTTTTGTTTGTTTTCATGACAGTGTTTCTCTGTGTAGCCTTGAGTGTCCTGGAGCTCACTTTATAAACCAGACTGACCTTGAACTCAGACTTGCTGTCCTCTTTCCTGAGTGGTGGGTTAAAGGTGTAAGCCACCACAGCCTGGCTTTGTTTTGCACTCTTCTGTCTTCTTTTCTTTTGTCAATCAGCCTGCCCTGAAACTCAGAGATCCACCTGCCTCTGCTTCCTGGGATGAAGGATGTTCTCTACTGGTGTACTACACTCCAGTCTCCACTTTCTTTCTTTATGGCGATAAGTACTAGTGTCATTTTTTTGCTGAGTTTTATTTATTTGGTGTAAGGGGCAACACTTGGGAATTTTTAAGTTCTAACATTTCAAAGCTCTTGATTAGACACAGAAGCATCCAAACAAAACTGAAAACTTTTTGTACCTTTACCAACATTACCCTGCCTATCAAGGTGACAATCTCTAAAATGAAAGGAGAGGATAATGCTGTAATATATAGGTACCGATTTAATAATTCATGCAGTAAATAAAATAACATTGGTTTCTCTGAAGAAAGTAAAAGAAGAATGCTTTTAAGGGACAGTATCTTTTAAAAAAGTTACTAATAATTTGTACAAATAAATTTTAATGAATACAAGTTAGTATAAGGTATAACAGACTTTTAAAGTAAACTAGAGTAGGTGACAACAGATTTTCCTTTTAAAAAATTATCATTAATCATGTTTCTTTTATTTGTCCATGACCCCAAACCAGCAAAGCTGGAAGGAAGTGATAGGCAGTCTGCTGAACTCAGGATTTGAAAAAATATTTAAGGACTTCTGAGCTGATAAATTCGTTAGCATGTCCATGAGACATACTTAAAGTAGTTTGAAATCCATGCATTAGAAAGGTATTATTTCTAATTCTTTGACCATGGAAGTCAGATTGTGAAAAGACTGATGCCCAGCATGCTTAGAGTAATTTTCCATTTCTCTAGGGCCATGAAAGTTGCTTGTTTAGTTCCTAGAATTAAATACAGATGTTTAAGATTATGTTAACAGTGCAGTGGTTCTTGACTCTTAACACATGGACTCATGGCTTCCTGTATGCAACCTTAGCAATCATAATATGTATATTATTTTATGTGGGTATATAGAGAAAGTGTTGCTTTAGCAAATGTTCATAGTCTGTTGAGTGATTGATTGCTTGGTATTTGAGACAGGGTTTCTTCTCTGTGTAGTCCTGGCTGTCCTGGAACTCACTCTGTAGACCAGGTGGCCTTGAATCCACCTGCCTTTGCCTCTCAAGTGCTGGGATTAAAGGTGTTTACTACCACTGCCCTGCTTGCTTACCATTTTGACCTAAAAGAATTGTGCTTAGTTCAATGATTGAATGTGTATGTGTACACACATACATGCACATTCACACATAAATATAGGTAGGTGTGTGTGTGTGTGTGTGTGTGTGTGTGTGTGTGTGTGGTGTGTCACAGTTTCTGTGAAGGCATATATCTAAGAACAGTTGCGGTCATCATGGGGGAGCCTAACCATATCTGTGGGATGCCAGCTCCCATTTTTTCCCCAGGGTACTCTTGAGAGAGGACTGAAAACTATTTAGATAGAAAGATAGAGAAGGAGAGAAACAGATAGAAACACAGGATAGCCTCAGGAGGGCCTGGATATCTATCCACCAGCCCCTCCTGTCTCTTCTGAAGGACCCTTTTATAGGAATGCCAACGGGTGGAGCAAAAGACCTCCCCCTAGCTAAGTGCAGACCCTTCCAGTCACCTGGTAACCACACATGTGGTCAAGCAATCCTTTAATGCTGCCCTGCTGGATAAAGCAAGCTCAGATCTCACTAGGAAACCTCTGTGGGCCTCCACAGGTCATGAAGGAAGTTTATCTTTACCTTTTCTAGATATCATGAATTATAACTATATATATTTAGTGTGGCTGAGTTTTAGTCTCCTTCAGAATTGATAAGTAAATACTTCTGTTAATCTATAAGCATCTAGTATATTGTTAAGCTTAATTTTTGCAAGTGTGATGAGTCTGTTTTTCTGAGTTGACCTTTTTCTATTTAATGAAATCTAGTGATTTTTAGAAATTCTTTAAAACATAAGAGTCTCATTTATGTTGTCCATGCTGGTATGAAACTTGGAATGTTTCTGCTTCATGTTTCCACCCAACTTTTAGAATTTTAAAGACACACACAGTCACACAAGTAAAATTGGGTTATTATTATTATTAGTCTGGCTGGGAATGTCTTGCCAGCTGTATTCTCATTCTTCAGGAATTGATAAATTCTTAATATTTCCAGTTTGTTAAATACTATAAAGATTATGCTATTGGTGCTTTGTGTTTAGGTGCATTGAGTATACACATATAGAAGTGGCAGCTTTCCATACACGTTCATACATCTTTTATTTTCAAATACTAGGAAATGGGGCTCTCCTTTATGTTTACTATTTAAAGGGCCTGTTGAGAAATATTTTACAACTTAATTACAACAAAACTTGTCCCTAGTCTTGTCATTTTTGTTTTTAGCTCATTTTGGTCATGACTGGCCTGGGCCTACCTGATACGTATCAATTAAGGCCATTATGTGTGGGTTATTGCTGTGCACATAGGTGTTTTTGACCTCATTTGATATGGCACCTAATTCCTGTAGTCTTGCTATATTCCATTAAACTCTTTGTATATGTGTTTGGTATATAGCCATATAGCAGTGTGACCCCCCCCCCCCCCCCCCC